AAACATACATTTTCTGATTTCTTAGTTGTAAATTATTGTAATATATTAAGTGTAAATGTATTTTCATTATTACTGTTCTGCCTTATGCTGTAAACAGTTTGTTTAGATTCTGACAAGTTCTAAACACTTTGCAGACTATTCCAGGAAAGGATACAGCTTGCTACAGCTGTTTATTGATGTATTTGCAAATCTGAATTAACTATGCAAAATTTATTATTTAGGGCGGCAGGTAAGCAACAGTGATGGTTAGATGCAGTATGTTCTAACTTATAATAATGATTCCAAATGTTCATAGAAAAGCAGATAAACTACAGCATGCTACTTCTTATAGAACAACACACCTTTAAAGGAATGCATATCAGTAAACCAGGTGCCTTAAACAGTATTTGGTTTGTGGTGTTCTGACTAGTATTGAATATGTTTCTCATTATCAGATCTTTGAAGCTAGTTTACCCTTAATACTAGTACACTAGTGATATTAAAAAATCAGATTTAAATAATTGAATAGAAGGCAAAGCATCCCGACTTCCAAATTTTCATCTCGGGTTCCTTTTATGTTGAATCACTGCAGCACTTGATATTGCAAATGTATGCTTGGATAAGTATTTCTAAAAAGTTTCAGGGTAAGTATTCATTCTTAACTTTGTTGTCTGTTTTAGGTATCTTTAAAAAAATGTTTAAAGTCTTAGTTTAGAATTGGAGTTCTATATGTTTTCACCAAATCTCTGAATTGTAAGCAATACTGTATTACTTGTTAATTTATTTGCTGAAGTAAGCATATATATATAGTAATGCAATAAGCAAAGTTTGCTGAAAATCTATAACAATTCTCTACAGAACATTGACAACTCTTCTCCTGTAATGGTGGCAATGGTATGAAATATTGATGAAACCATTTCTATGCTTGACTGTGGTACTTACATAAAAGTTAGCATTTTTAAAACTAAATTGAGAAAATTTATATATCTTCTACTGTTAAAGCTTCCAGTAACACTTCACGTGTTTCTGAAAGTACGTTTGATATGCTGTGCAGAAACCTTTATTTGGAATATCATAGTATATTAATATGAAATGTATAGCTCTGTACTCCAGTCTTGTTCAATTGCTGGACATTAGTGGGTAACAAATTCAAAAGATAGTTTCATAAATTTTCTTTAAAGATATTTTCTTAAACTTAGTTTTGTTATGCATGAAATATAAAGACAAGTGGCTGATTTTGACACCTATGCAGTTAATAGTACACGAGGATATTCATGACTTGATATATGGAAGACCCACTGGTCTTCCAAATGTATCCTGTTTCCATATTTCATCACATTCCACTGATGAAGCCAACAGCAAAGTTTCAATGAGATAACTCTTGGTAGTTGTCTGTATCAATTTATGTCATACTAATTACTATTATGCTTAAATAAATGAAAGGAAAATATAGGCTAGGTCTTCTCTCAGCAAGGCTTTGTAAATATATGTCTTTTCCTGCTGTTTTTAAGGTAATTTAATGCTAGTGTTTATTTGATTTTTATTTAATGCTTATTATTCTGTTTCTTCTAATGATGGTGATTTATAATGTCTGGACCACCTTATTAACTTATTTTCTGATAATGTTTTTCAATGTTACATTTGTAACTTCTACTGTACATAGAGGCTGCAAACCTCTAACCATATTAATTTTTAGAATATTCCAAGATTATTGTTTTTGCCATTTTCTGCTAGTCATTGTTTTGTTTTAAAGAAAAAAATAAATTTGGAGGAACTGTAATACTGAGTTTACATAATTAAAATGTTTTATTGATTATTGGTTGAATTAGAAGATTTACACCAATGAGAAAAATGTTGATGACTTTTTAAATTTAAAATGCAGTAATTGTGCCTTGGGATGCCATGTTCCTAGATAAATTAATCTTATCTTTATGATATATGAAGAGTTTTTACAGCACATAAATTTTACAGTCATAAATTTCCACAGCTTCCTACCCTGCATGATTGTAGAGGTTGAGAAATTATGGGAGTTTAAACTTGGATATCTAGCAAGCAACAGATAAGGTAAAATGGTTCTGTAGGGTTAATAGTTGATATAGAACTGACTCTTTCTGATAACAGTTTACCAACTGAACTAATTCCTATGAAATCTGGAAATTTCTGTTTACTAGCAGTAGCAACTATTTTGTTCTTAAAATCTGTACTGAGATTCATGAAGATAAGTTTAATGAATATTTTTACTCTCTTGCAGAATTCCAACTATAATTTCTGTACCATCTGTAGAAAAAGGCCTGCTGTACAGTTGAGGATGAATTTTGTATACATTAGGGTATAATTTTAATTAATTTGTACAACCAGTTCTTTAAACAACTTTGTATTTTTTAAATTTTATAATATCCATATTTATCTCAACAGAATATATGAAAGTAACACTATGTTCTTAATTAGTAATTAGTGGTGTTTTTCAACAGTTTTACTAAATTTAGAAAATATTTAGCATAATTTTCTTCTTCATAGGATTTTCGTGGGAGAGCCTAAGATTAGAGTTTGCATGTACCCATACTTGGTAATGCTATAGGAAAAAGATATTTTTGATTTCCTCCCAAACTGATTATAGTTATTCCAGTTTAAGTAGCCTTTCTCTAGGTAGATTCTTGCTAGTCTTCTTGTATATCCATAGCTAGAGTGATAAAATAAAATAACCCTCTAGAAGCATGGGAAATCAGAGACTTGCTGAGAAAGCAAAGCTTTTTAAGGATTATTATTCTGTTTGTCCTACTTGTGTCCCACTTCTTGACTTATACAACCTTTGCTTTCTGCTGTTCTAGCTCAATATATTCATTCCAGCATGATCATTAGAAAAATACTTTGAGCTTTTGTGCTGAATCCACCAAAGATTTACCTTCCAAGAATATACAGAATTTTTTAAAAAAACTAATGAAACTTCACCTGTACAATTTTAACCCTTTTTTTGGAAGTGAGAATCCATTTCTTTTAATGCAACCAATTAAGATTTCTAATTCTTTCAGCTAAGAAATGTGTATCTTCTGTTGTTTATCCACACTTGAAGTCTCTTCCTGCACGTACATCAAATTCTAAGAAAGGAATTAGTTGTTCCTTTATTTTACATACTTGACTACATATATGTTAAATTTGCTTTGCAGTTTATAATAATTTTATCAAGATACTTCATTATCATATAATCCAATGGATATTAATAATATTTTGAAAATTTTGTATTTCTGTCAATGTTGAAACAAGGCACAAAGATTTCCAGAAACTGCTTGCTAACACATATAACTTTAAAGTATTTTCTAGCCATGTCATGTTTTTTGATCATCTTACTTGGTTACTTTAATCACTAGTCCATAAACAAAATTTTGCAACTATCTCTCTCCTGTCAGAATTTGTTAGTATGATCTGTACTATGGCTGTGATTTGGCCTATGGCTGTGTAGATATTGCTGGGGAGACTTGCGTTCTGCAGTTTGCCTATTCCCTATAGTAAAATGATTGGGATGTACTGTATAAAATTTCCTCTTGCAGTTGTAAACTAAGTTTGTTTGTAAAGATCTGAAATTGGGTGTCTGTTCCTTTAAACTCTTTGAACAAAGTTGGCATCATGCCCAGCCACTTCTTGCTTCAAGGCTGTTCCTTTGGGGTTTTTTTCTGAAACAGTAGAGCAAAACTACTCTGCCATTCTGCATGCTATCCTTGTCAAGAAGTGCAGCCTTGCCATGCAGTTTTTTAAAATTACAAACTAATTCTGTGTTGGAGATGATGGGGTTATCCAATATTAGAAGAACCGATCTTGCAGCCTGAATCTGGATCAACTGTGTGTTAACTCTCTGTAATCTGGAGGTGGTAATATGGATTCTAAACCCAGCAGTCCTCAAAATACATGGGAAGGTGACTCTGAATTCAGTTTCCAGTTTTGGACCCAACTTTTTCTGTGGATATATTTGTTTGGTCGGCTGGTCAGTTATATCTTACGTAACTTCAGAGGGCTAAAGTAATGACTTCTTCCTGGCCCTTTAATCAGTTTGGTCTTCAGATTTCTACTGTCATATTTAATTATCATCTTTAATCTGAATCTTATTGGTAAGCCTTTTTTTAGAAAGGGACACCTGCCTTATACTTTATCTTTTTCTTTCCCTTCCTCTCCCACCCATTTTTCTCTTTTATGGATGACTTTATTTAAGCATGATTTTTAAAGCTTGGGGTTAATTTCAAAAGTAGGACAGTGGCTTATATTTGATTAGTTGTTGGCGTATTCTGGATTAGAGATACATACATACATTAGAGATAGATACTTCTATTTAATTCCTTGTAAATTCTTGGGAATTGCTTAGATACTCCAAAAGTTGTGGTTAGCACTACTGCAGTTAAGCTCTTTACATTTAAATTTAGCATTTAGAAAAGGAAATTTCCATCTCTAGAATGTAGAGCGCCCAAAGAAATATGACCTTGGGCAGTCTCTTAATTTGTACTTGTATCTTATGGGCTGCACCAGGTTTTGTTCCATCTACTGCACCAGTTCTTTGTTTGGGGCTGCTATTATTATTTAAATATCTCTGTGAAATTAGTTCCTGTTAAAGAATTAACGTATATTTTTTTTAAATGGGACTTCCCTACCTGATGAGATCCTTATTTGCCCTGCCTTCAACTCTGAGAGCAAATGAGATACAAAGAATCTCTGAGCTATTTTAAGCCTTATTGCATGGCCTTTGCTACCCTCGATCTGGCAGACCTCCCTTTTTCTGTATTAATCAAATCTGTCTGCCGCTCTCCCTCTAACCAGCTGTATAACTGATCAAGCTTCCAACATGGAATGGACTATCGTGGAGCCTTTGTGGGCATAGTGGGGGTTGGGAAAATCTGGCTTGTTTATGGATGATTGCCCTGGAGAGCTATGTAGCTGTTGCTGAACTGAGATGAGTGCTTTTGTCCAAGGAGGTGGGTTTGTTGGAAATTCTGTCCTTGTTAGAAGTTGAGAGTGATCAGTTCAAGCCAAATGTCTGTATCAGTCAGCTGAGGGGGAATGTAAAGAGCTTTGCTGGAAGTGTGTCTGCTCTCCAGTTGCTTCCTTTAGCCTCCACTTCACATTTTGGGACAGGAAAAACACCCTGCTTGCCTCTACCAGTGGGTAAATAGCAATGATCAAAGAAAGCGCTCTCCTAAATCCTGACTGAGCTTGCCTGATTGTGTTTGCTCTGAGAGCAGACCGGGAATGACAAAAGAATTACTGATAAAATTAAGAGAAACATGAGCTATGGAGCTGAAATAAATAGTCAAGACTCCAACAAGAACAACGGGAGTAAAATGTCAGCGCTACAGAAACTGGAGAATCTTGCAGGGCGGATCTTTTACTGGGGGCCATGGAGTGATGCAGGAGCACCAAGCTCTGGAGAGGCTGTCTTTGAATCAGAGCATACTGCTGCCTGGAATAAGCAAAGTGAGTTGACAAACTGAGCATGATTTCCAAGGGAGTGGGAATGGATGCAGAGTTTCCAACACCTCTGCTCCTCAAATGAAGCTTTAGAGATGTTGCTGCTCTTTAATAATGACATGTGAAGGTATTAATGCCTGAGTGTGGAGCAGAACATTAAAACAGGCCTCTGATCTTTCCCAGTCTAGCCCATAAATATGGATAGCACTACTGTGGAGGCCATTCTGGATTTAAATACGGAACCACCTCATTATATCAAATTACCCAGTTTTTAAAGGTAGGTAGGTTACTTAATAACACTAGAGCTTATTGTTGTGTAGCATTTTATTCTAAAATCTACAGGATTCGTTTGCTCAAATTTGACCATCCTGTTACTAGAACCTAACTGTTATTGATCCAATACTCTACGTGTAATCTGCTTGGAATATGAAAATGTGATTCAGATAAATATATAAGTAACTTGCCATGTGGGAAATGGAAGACAGGCTCCAAATACGTATCTCCATGCAGAGGTGATAAGCCGCTTATACATTGCTATGACAAGAAAACAAAGATGGAACTCTGTTTCATATACCGTTTTCTAACCTAAATTTTCTCTGTCAAGTAATGGTTTGGAGAATGGGCATATGGGTGAAAAAGTATATTTGCTTTTTGTATTTCTACTTCCACATGCTCCCAGTCAACGATTTAGCAATTCTATAATGGCCTCTGGCTTATGTTAATATGTATCTGAGAATAATGCGTGTTTCTGGTTATTTTCCATTCATTGGCAGACAAACCACTTTTAAGTAGCAAAAAGTAAGCACTTCATTGTGTTTCAATCTGAGTACCTATTCTGACTTTTTGATATAGCAATTTTAGTTCAAGGCAGATGAAACACCATAGAGACATAGTCTTGATGGTGTTTTTATTGTTTCCTTTGTCATCCGTGACTTGAATTACAATTTTTATTTGATTTTGTTTGAAATTGTACTTCATTTATCTCATTGGCTCAGTCTTGATTTCTAGAGTAGCCTATCTCAGATGATGGGATAGTAGTAGGTTCAAGGCAGAGGTGGGTTCTACTTACCATTACTACCGGTTCTGCACGCGCTCACTTTGCACACACATGCGCATTCTTCTGCGCATGCGCAGAAGCATTTTCATGACATCAGGATCAGTGGGTGGACCCTCCCGCCGGTTTTACTACCAGTTCTATAGAACCAGTGCAAACCGGGGGCAACCCACCACTGGTACAAGGTCTTCCAATGCCTATACCTTATTCATTGACTCCTTTATGTAGGAAGGAGTGAATGCAAACTTCGATGCTCAAACATGTTAAAACAAAATTGTCACTATCAAATTTTTTTATTGCCATTAGTTTAAAACAAAGCTTGCAGAACATCTGATGCCAGATGTCTTGGTCCTTTAATCTTTTGGCATTGGTACGTACTCCTTCCTGCATTTGAGCCTGTTGTTCATGAACAGCAGGTTTAGAAAGGGAGGAGGTCATATGAGGCAAAAGATCCAGGAATAAGATCTTATTGAATCTAGGGATATGAATTAAAAAAGTGATTTCTGTGTGCCTTCTGAGATAATTTTTATCTTCATTGCTCATTTATATGGCTAAAGAAGTACAATACTTTTTTTTTCTTTTTGGTTCTTAAATTCACTGTAAGTTCCCTCAACTGAGTCTATTATTCTCTCTTGAGAAGAATGTGATACTATATCTGATTGGTTCTGATAAGCTTTGTGGAAATATGTTGGTTTTTCAGATGTCCATTCAGTGAGTTTGAAAATTTTTTTCTTTATTTGTTGGCACATCTTGCACTCTATAAATCTAGCTTCAAATTTATTTATTTATTATTTGATTAATTTATATGGCTGCCCATCTCTAATGCACTCATGGATGGGTAAACAACAGTTAAAACACCATAAAGCATATATCAATTAAAACAATATACACATAATTGACAGCCTAGGTAGAAAATAAAACAGCCAACCACTCAATGTAACTATTGCAGTGTGTGCTATAATTTATACATTTATATATATAAATCCAAATAAACCTAAACCTTAAACCTTAACATAATCATGTCTTTAAGAACTTACAAAAAGCCAGCAAGGTTGGGGCCAATCCAATCTTCCGTTGGGTGGATGTTCCAAAGATGGCTGTCATGACAGAAAATAAGATTGTACAAGTAGCACTGTACAGTATTTGGAACTGAAAACTATGTTGCTAAGTGACGAAGTCATAAGGCATGACATGATGTGATGGCACTGATTTATAGTGGCAGTTCTGGCCATCCAGTTGCCATTGTTAGGTGAATACCACATGGTCACAGCTTCCTGCGGGCACATGATTGCCATTTGCAACCTCCTGCCAGCTTCCCCATTGACTTTACCTACTGGAAGTGAGCACTGAATGTTATAAATAGCAATCACATGACCATAGGAGAAAGTGCTGGCCACAACTATAAGAAAGTATTGTAAGTATCCCCTTGTTTGGCGCTATCACTGAACAAGTGGTATGTTAAATGAGAACTACTGTATATTCCAAATCTTTTAAGAAGATTATAGGAGAAAGTTGCACGAAGCAACTAATACAACACTTTTATGAAAAGTTATCACAGTGAAGTATGATCTGTTTCCTCAATAACTTGTAATATAATTTATGTTCCAATGTTTAAGCTAGCGTTGTTTCCCAAACTTGGTAACTTCTAGATGCGTGGAGAATAGTTGAATAGAAGTTCTGAAAATTGAAGTTCATGATTGGCAGCATTAGGGGACATAGGTATAAGCAATTCAAATATTTTTTTAGATTTCTTTCCTAGAACCTTTTCCCATTAAACTGTAGGTTTCATTAGCCCCTCTGTGACTAATTGGATAACCAGTCTATCTTTGCTTTTGCAATGGCTTATTGTACATCATTGTTTTGGTGCAGTATGGATTTTCTACATTCCTAAAATATATTTTTATTACAAATGAAGGCAAATATACAGTATGTGGATAATGTTACAGGATCCAATCTGGTTCAGTCACTGGTACCAGAGGTTAGTCTTCCGAGCTTTTAAACTCTTGCAGGAGCCCATCCTCAGGGAACTTCTGTCTAGTAGAGTATGTGCTTTGGACTACTCTGTGTGTGGTATTTATATGTTGCCTGGTTGTATGTGGCTTTTTAGTTGTTGATTGGTGGGGTTGATAGCTGGCTATTAAGTCATTGGTTGTTTTCTTCTGCTTCCAAATCCTCACCTCCTCAGTATTTGATAAGCTGGTGGTAAATCAGCATTCCTGTTAACCGTTGAGGGGCCCATTTCCCAGGCTTCAATCACTTCCCTGGCTGTTTTTGTACCTGCTCATTCAACAATCTTAGTAGCTACAACATTGAATGTATGTCATTCAATACATTGTTCATTGTAATGTGAGTTCAGTGAGTTCAGATCTCATCTGACTGCTCATTTGTGTTCTTGCAGCCTAGTGGTTAGCTTCCTCCCTGTCTGTCCTACATAGTCACAGAGGCAATCCATACAAGGAATCCAGTAAATTATATTGGAAGTATCTTCCACCTCCAAGCAATCTTTACAATGCATAATTTTTCGTCATATGGTAGCCTCTGGGCGATATGCGATGCCACTTGCAGATCTTGGAAGTTGTGTTCTACCGCTTCCGAAATGTTTTTTATATACGTTCATACTTTTTATTCCCGTTTTGTATTCTGCATACAAACTTAAGCTAACTAGCAATGAAATGAAAATGACAAGTACATAAAATTACAATATAAAAAGATATGAAAATAAGTCAAAAAGTCAGAGGGTAAAACAGATAAAATAGGTTGAGCAATAAAAAGACAAATTTTGATAAATTTATAAATAAATGTATTTGTTTGGAAATGGGAGAGCAAAGAGAGAGCTAGAAAAATATCTGACTGGGAAAAAATGTAGCCATTTTAAAGCTCTCCCCCCTCTTCTCTTCAGCCATTTTATAATTTAACAGGTCTCTTCAGATGGGAAGGGGAAAAAATCCCATGTAATTTCCAGGGAATTGCAGTAATACAGAAACAAATTCAGAGGTGGGCTGCTGCCGTTTAGGACCAGTTTGCCTGAACCGGTTGTTCCGATTCTGCACAGTTCAGAGAACTGGCAAATTGGAGCACTGGCTGTCCCTGCCCCTGCCTGTTTTCAGGCCGTTTCATGCCGTTATTCCATCCAAAATCGGCCCTGAAAACAGCCTGATAAATGCTAAAAAACCAGGCCATTTTGGGGGCAAAATCCGGCCCAAAATCAGTCCAAAAGACAGCCTGAAAACGGTCCAAAAAACAGCTTGGAAACATCCCGAAAAATGGCCTGAAAACAGCCCCAAAAAAACTGGCTGCAAGAGGAAGGAAAGCCAAGTCAGCCAGACCCAGAAGTGTCCTGGGTCCCCTCATCCCAGAAGCAATAACCTCGCACTCTCCCCTCTCTGCTAGTCCCCTTCTTCGCACAGGATCGCCCAGCAATAGAGAGGGAGAAGGGGCGACGTTTCTGTGTGGCACTCTCCCCTCAAGCTACAAAAGCTAGAAGTAAGCTAGAGGTCATAGCATTTAACAGTATCTGTTCAACTTTTGAAAGGATGAGCAGAATTGGATTTGGTTAATACTTTAATTAGTCCTCCCAAAAAAACCCATTAAAAACAATGGTGAATCTTTCCCATCTGGTACCAAGAAACAATACTGACAAGTTCATTTAATCACCAATTGTTGAGCTTAATTTAAGGAAGTTCTCTCATTAAAACTGCATAACAGTGATATTTTACTCTACTTGTTAGCTGATTCTGAGCCAAATTCCAATTGTGACTGTGGTGTTGAGGATTCCAATTGAGACTGTGGTGTCAATTGAGACTGTGGTGTTGAGGACATGGACGCTAATTCTATTCTTAAATCTATTAGGGTCACTATGTGCTATTCCTTTGAGAAAATTGCCCTGTCTTTCATTTTTTATGAAGCTGCTGTATCATGGCTGAGGGTTTCAAAGGTAGTAATTCACTATTAC